CCCCCAACAGACAGAGCTCATTGGGCAGTCAGACTAATTAATATATAAAAATAGGTCCACACCAAGTCAACATGTCTGTCACAATCAGAGTGTCATTTCTGGCCATCCAGAGGTTCCTATTCTTAAAAAAATCTCATTTGGGAGGGGAACATCCTCTCAAACCCTTCCTCCAGCTCAGGCCTACGAACCCAAGTCCACCTTGTCGGACAGCTCAGTCCACCCAGAAAACATATCCTAGAGCCGCCACTGTGCTGCCACTGTTTCATTTCCAGATTCAGGGTACAGTGCTTTATAACTCATGTCTAGCATCAAGGTTGTGAAGCTTGTATTAAATTTGATGGTAATCTTATAACTTGTACCGCAGTTGACCAGGGGAAAATTTGTTCTGCACTTTGGTATACTGTAATTTGTTTGCTCAGAAAGTTTTCAGTGCTGGCACAAACTTTTTTCATCCCTTTGTTTACGCCACCGAATATTTGGGGGAAGATAATTGGCTGATCAAGCAAGGGAAAGTTTTGGAGTGATGATGGCTGTAGGGACCTTGCATTCTAACTTGATAAATGCAGCATATAAACCCCCTAATCGCAACCCCTGTTCTTGAAATTGCTTGTTTTATTGTTAGTTGCTCTTTTTCCAGGCTGGGAATCCTACATGCACGCGTCATGTAGCTCCTTGTGGTGGGTTAGAAGCTGAAAACCCCAAAGTATCGTATGTGGGAGGAAGTACAATCTTCGTTAAATTTCAGCAAAATTACAACCACTATGAATTAGGATATCCAGGTAAGCCTCGTAAATCAGACTTAATTGTTTAATACCGAATAATGCTTGTTCTTGCACACTGGTATCGCTTGGTGCCAATGAGACTCTCCTACGTTAATTCAGGTGTCTGGTTAGTTAAAATTAATAAAAAATGAAATCAAAAGTATATCCTGTTATTGTAGTATAGCATAACCAATATATACTTAGAAATAGAAAATGTAAAATTCTATGCATAATATATAACTTAAACAGTAAAAGTATATAAAATTGATATGATTTTTAAAAAAAAATTTAATTTTATGTATGGCGATCAGGATGCCATTATATATTGTAGAATTTCTTTTATGATATAAATAATGCTTTATTTCTCCTTTTTTATCTTGCAGGGTACATGGATATAGCTTATGCTATGGCTACAGATATGAATGATTTCCACGTGGTAGCAATTATTGGTGATGTGAATGAGTATGCCCAAAGCCATCAGCGTAACTATAGCATTCCAATAGTGAGTTCAGACAGTTGTCTTCATTTTAACAAATATTAGTATTGTGTAGTTTGTGACCTAGATTTAAAAAACCCCATACTATAATTTGATATACAGAATGACAAAAGAAATTCTTTAGTCATCAACCAGGGTAGGAAACTTCCATCAACATTAACTGAGATTTTTAACTTCATAACTTTCCATAGCCGTGAACCAGGATAGGGACAGATACCCGATTCCCCATTTTTTTACTTTTGGAAGGTATTATTTTTTCATCCACATAGAACCAGCTTCAAAATGGCTATTATTCTAACTGCTGCCATTCAGTAAGATTGCCATTTTTTCCTTCCAGATGATCCCCAACATAGACTGCCCTCACTGTGTTATTCGACTCCGTTATTTGAGCCACAAGCCTAGTGAACACATCTTTTACCAATGTGCCGACGTCAAGATAAGTAAAGCAAGCAACACACAACCAGGCTACGTCCACTTCCCCGAGGATGGAAATGTTGTGCCTCTAAAACGAGCTCACAAACTGCATTTGCAAAGCAGAGAATTGCAATTGAAACATGGTGCTGAATTGGGACAGAATTACAGCAAGCCTCTATATGGGTTTTCATGGCAACCTTTTTCGCACAAGGGAAGCGCCATGATGTCTGTCGATCCGATGTCTGGTTTGACAGAGAAACTAGAAGGGTTTTATTTTGGCATGGGATCAGGGATTCAGTATGCAACGATTTCACCAACGTGAGCAATTAATACTTTGTTGTATTTCGTGGCCTCAATAAAAAAGGTGTTAAAAGCCAAAATATATAGCATTTTGGGAATCAAGGATGGTCAGTTGGGATACCAGTTAATTAATCTATAAATTAATAGTTATTTTTTAATTTCTTTTTGTTTAACCAAATTTAAATTTACGTACAAGACATTTTGTCTGTCTTCGGCTAAAAAAAATAAAATAAAACATAACTATTGATAATAAGATAACCACATGAATTTCTTCCAATCTATAAATTGCTGTTGGTAGAATTTCTATTCATAAGATGCCATTCAAAAGTTATGCCATAATGATATACTATACAAAATCGGTTTCGGCAAATGGATCTAATTTTGATTTTCACTTTGATCCTCCTTTTCTGATAGGGTGCAGAGCAATAAGTATCTTATGGATGGCATAGTGGCTTATTCCCCAGAGATCCCATATGCTTTCTTCTTGGAGCATAGGAATGGAGGCCTAGACGCCCCAGCCAACAAGATACTATGGATTGACTTGTATGCTAAGGAAATTGCTGGGGAGTATGAGATCCAAATGAGTAACCCACAGCCAATCGTTGCTTTGACGCCTTATAAGCGAACAGACTTCCTCACGTTACAAATTGTAGAAGTGGCTACATTTCCTGGTAACATGATTTTTATTTGATAAAACAGTCAAACAATTATTAAAATCACTTTTGCCATTATTGTTAGTCATTAATACAGGGGTAGTACTACGTAGCACCAGGATTTGCCTGACAGGAAGGGCTGAGGTTGCTGATGAGAGCAGAGTGGGCTTGGTTGGGAGTCGCTCAAAATTTTTCAAAAAAGGTCCAGGAAAATATAACAATTTTTAGGGGGTAGAAAATACATATAATTCCCCCCCCCCAAACGGATTGAGGTTTTCCTCCTCAATGGCGCCACCCCAGCATTAATACTGCACTATCATTATTGAACATTAATAAAAAAAAACATAAATTTATGTGTAACCTAGGCAACTTCACATTGAATTTTGGGCGTCTTTCGTATGAGGGCAAAGTGTACAGTGACTACCAGTCTTCACCAGAGAATAAGTATGTAAACTTGCAGTGGGCAACGTCGGATCTGACACACCAGATGTACTACATTCTCATGCAACACGAGGATAAACCTATCGAGCTGCCATCACGTGTATACAGCTACAATTTTACTACAATGTAAGTTGAACCATTATATCTTGTCCAATGGATTGCACATTTTATTTATTGATAATGGTGATGATGTCTGTAAGACTTAAGCACACATTTTGATTGCCCAGCCTGGGTCTGCTTGCATTGATAATATAGTGCAGTACTTTAATACATCTGTATTAATAACAATTGATGGATTATAGCAGAGGTGGATTGTTGACCCTATTATATGAGACTGCGATGTTGGCCACCACACTTTTTTTTTCTTATTATTATACTGTTTTAATCCTCTTTAATTGATTGCATCAAGTGCATAGAGGCAGTCCATACAATATGCAATAAATGTCTATTTATTATTATTAGTTGTTACTCTGTTCTTCTGGATTTTTTTTTACTATACATTAGAGTATCTATATAGAGTATCTAACAATCATTTAATATTATTTAATTTATATTTTGAAGGAATCTTGATAGAGTTGTTGACCTTGATGTGAGTCGGTTCACCATCTCAGGCTTCCAAGTGTACGAGAAAACAGGCATGTTAAAGCTCTGTTTCCATAAAATCGCTACAGTGTTTTCAGTGCAATCGTTGTAATGCGTAACAGTCCCCAACAACGCAATCAGGAAGGCTCCCTGATTCGACCGACCAATCAGCATCATCAAAAGCTGTCGGTGGTGGCGTGTACAGTGTAGCGATTGTATGGAAACCAAGCTTAAGACTAACAGATATTTTATTAGCAGGAGCTTTAGTCCATGCTGTGAACAGTGTTGCATGCTGTTTGCTCATCCTATCCTACAAGTCTCCCTTCAATTTTTGTCTGACCATTATTTTCATTTTCTTTAGCAGCTTTGGTCTCTAATTACAGATATAATTCACATAAGTATGGAAAATGGGCATTTACCTAAGGCCGCACTCAAGTGATCTGTAATCGAAGGTCTTTAGCTAGTGGGAGACCGGTAGATTAATAGTATAATAATCTAAATACAATACATCTAATATGATTATTGTATTACTCCTATTTGTTGGTGTGTATTATTTTATAACCCTTGTATGTTATGTTACAGGCCAGCTTCTAGCCTTTTCCCCAGGCTTATTCAGTCACGATTTGCCTGCATGGAGTCTAGTTGAAGTGGATCCAGTAAATGGAAAAATCACAAAATTGATGGATATAGCACCAGCAGGTATAGAGTATAGTTAATTGAAATTGCATTTTACAGGGCAAATCCACATTTTTTGGAATAAAATAGGGAAATCTTTCCTGTGCATCCCACCATTGGTAGGCCTGCTGTACACGAGTGTTACATTCATAAAAAACTAAAATTTTCTGTGATATGTTTATTGTTCCAAGGACAACAGTGCCTACTTCTTATTGAAGTGGTGTTGTAGTTTTTTAAGGAATATTAAAAAATTAAAAATATTGGCAGTGTGCCTACAGTACATCTCCAATCGAAATCTGCTACTACAGCACTTCCATCATATTTTTGGTTGGAGAATACATTACTTTAAAAGAATAAACAACAACAAAAACAGGTACATTGTTTGAATTTATTTTTGCATAATTTGTTTTTATCAATTACAATATAATATTCTTTTGAATCCTTTTCTTCAGGAATCTTTACTCATTATTATGGAGGCAACATTATCAACATGGACCAGGAGAATGGCATCATCTATCATGTTCTTAATGTGCAGGACTCGGAGGCACAGGTCATTGTATCTGTCACCATGGAAACTAAGCAAGTTATGTTCTCACAACTGACCAATCTAAGACATGTCCACAACTTGGCATTCCCTACCATATCTTAGTTATTAGTGGAAAGTTCACTAAACACATTTTTTTAAATTTGGAAATACAGTACCAGAAAATGAAACTAAAATATTTTTTTAAATAAATGTAATGTAAATTTCATGTAAATAACATTTTGTTTTAATTTATATAAATTTCTGATAAAGAAAAGTGCAAAAAAATGTCTATAAATAAACAGGAATAATAATAATCTTTTATTCTTTTTCAATTAATTTACCCTTAATGAATAAAGTACTTTCATAACTGTTGTGCAAGAAGAAATGTTTGTGTGAATCAAAATAAAAAATTCATATTCTTATAGATAATTAAACATTTTTGTCATAATAAATGTAATTTGTAAGGTTTATTTTGGTTTACGAGACTGGGATGCAAAACATCTTCATAATAGGTGACTCGTTTCTTAACGTGGACACATAGCATGCCTGCCACCATCTACTGGTAATGTTACCCCTGTTATAAACGATGCCGCGTCTGATGCTAAAAATGCAATGGAACTGGCAACTTCATCAGCTTCACCTGGTCTACCTAGTGCATGGGTGACCTTCGATTTTTCTAAAAACTGGGAAGAAAAATATATAAAAAATATATACATATTTCTCTACAGTATCTTTATTTTTAATTATACTTTTCAGTCAAACCAGATTCAAATCTATATAAAAGAGAATAATCTTATAAAATGTTTATTAATACTGTATCTGCCATAAATAACATACTTATATTATTAGTATTAATAATTAAGGTAGGCTTAAGTAAGAAAAAAGAATGCTTACTGCAGCATAAGCCTCCTCACTTAACCCTCCTCTCTTTTGCAAATCTGTCACAATAACTCCTGGGCTGCAAAAAGCATGAAAAAAGGTATTTTTATAAATTTATATTATTTTTCATTTAATGTAATTTATTTAGTTTTTGTGGAAAGTTGTAGGAGTAACCAAAATATGAAATTAATTAAAAATTTTCACGTTTGGTAATCATTTAATATAATCAAATATTAATAATTATTATAAATTACACATACAACAATGCCTATGTACATCCAATTTTCAATTTATAAGATGCATTATATGAAGTCTCAATGCGCCAATTTAGGGAGTGCTCAGAAAAATAGAAACAAAGGTAGAAAATATACAATATTTATTCACTTTTGGTATTATATATGCCATTAACATTCTTTAACAAATAAATATCAATAATTAATAGAGTACTAACTTGACAGCATTAACTCGCACTTTCTTTGAGGCTAGCTCTGAAAAAAAGATCATAAGTATTAAAATATTTAATTCATTCTGGGATATAGAATGAGACTAGACAGGGGATGTCCTATGACATATTTTATTTAGTCTGCAAGTCATTGGGAGTAGAAACTGTTAATACCGTAGACAAACAGGACCAGATCCCCCATCTAAAAACCGTCATACTGGACAGAGCATCCAAATTATACTCTCTTTGGATTCAACCACACACCCTGCCCTTTCCGACCAAACCAATACTGTACATACTTTGTTGGGAAAGTTGGGCCACCACTGCCCTAAATTGCTTGGGATTTTGGGAAAGAATTCTCCTTCCCAAAATGCAAGTCCTGCTACGCCCATGGTTTATTAGATCCTGATGTTGGATATACGTATTGCCAATGGCTTTGTCTTGAAATGGGGTTGCTGATTGGGGGTGCGAACTCAATCAGTTGAGGGGTGCTGACTCACAAAATAAGGTGATTTTTAACTACTTGCAAGTAATTTTGGAGGGGGAGAGGGAGCGAGTAAATTTTGAAGGGGCTTGCGCACCCCCCTAGATACACCACTGCACACTAACAGCCAATATTGAATTAACTGCTATTACAGTAATTATACAGTATACAGTAATAATACGTGTCCAAAGAAACTAATAAGCATGTCTTTAACGCCTATTTACACGTACAGACATTAGAATCTCTGGAACGTCTGTTTCTCTCGGTAGTCATACCTTCTGCCACATACGGTATCTCCGCGCTCGTTAACAGACTTACCGCGGAGGATTTCGACTTTCTAATGACAGTTCAATGCCGCTTGCTTAAATTTTGGTGGGGTATCTCAAAGTTCGCCTCATCCATCCATATTCTAGAAGCCTCTGGATGGCTTGCTTATTATTATACTGTTTTAATCCTCTTTAATTGATTGCATCAAGTGCATAGAGGCAGTCCATACAATATGCAATAAATGTTTATTATTATTAGTTACACCACTGCACACTAACAGCCAATATTGAATTAACTGCTATTACAGTAATTATACAGTATACAGTAATAATACGTGTCCAAAGAAACTAATAAGCATGTCTTTAACGCCTATTTACACGTACAGACATTAGAATCTCTGGAACGTCTGTTTCTCTCGGTAGTCATACCTTCTGCCACATACGGTATCTCCGCGCTCGTTAACAGACTTACCGCGGAGGATTTCGACTTTCTAACGACAGTTCAATGCCGCTTGCTTAAATTTTGGTGGGGTATCTCAAAGTTCGCCTCATCCATCCATATTCTAGAAGCCTCTGGATGGCTTGCTGCGGGGCCATTGATAAAGGCACATTTTTGCGAAGGAGCCCCTCTGGCTTCTATTCTCCAGTTCGGTGCCGTTCCGCTTCAGTGGAACTAACGGGGTCTCACAGGAAGGTATGGGGGAGATGGTTAGGCGCAGCCTTCCACTCGCTTTGGTGCTATAAGCGTTCATGCTTCCATCTCAACTGCGACTGCAGGTGTAGATTATGTGGTTCCGCGGAGAACCTCCAGCGCGAACACCTACTACAATGCGAGTGGGTTGTAGGGGACTTTGTCTCCTTTGACACTTTGGCTCTTCTAAATTTGGAGAGAGCGTTAATTGCTACCCTGCCACCGGGTTGAAAAAAAAAATAATAATAATAATAATGATCGATCCTTTGTCATCAGGTTGTTTTAGCTCTTTTCTTCCTGTGAAAAATGTACTCAATTTTTGAATAAAATGTTACACAATAAAAAAATAAAGTGTATTAATTATCATACAGGTAGTATCTATGCATTAACATAATCAAATATACAGAAGCTGTAATGAGTTGCTCTTACCAAGGGCTACACAGTGTGTCATCTGGTCAACTGCACTTTTGGAGATGCAATAAGTCAGCACACCAGGAAACTAATGAAAGATACCAAAGGTTACATTATTACCACTGTAAAAGAGAAGGGCTCAAATACCAGGAAACTGTCAAATGTCTTCGAACCAACAGCTTTATGTTTCTTCTGAAGGACGGCAATTCTTACTTAAGGTAAGCCAAACGTAACATCATCATAACAATAATTAAGGTGGATTAAAGAATTCTTTAATAAATCCATAAAGTTTTCTTAAGCAATGAAAAGGTTGCTATATGATGTAGCACAACATATAGTGAGCTTAATGCAATTTTACAATTTAAAGAAAATGAAATTGAAAATAAATTGAAACTCTTAATCTACTGTGAACATTTTGTGCAATCTTATCATTTTCTGTTTTCAAAATGAATGATGGTGGAGTGTAGTACTAAAAAAGGCAAGGACATAGCCACTACAGTAAGGTACAAGTTCATGTATTCAGTTACACCGTTCCCCCTCCCCCCCTCCATCCCATCAGCCATTTGCAAGATTCCTTAGTTCTTACCGATCTCAGACCATTGACACTAGATACATTGACAATGTTGCCTTGTGTTTTAATCAGGTGTGGTACAGAAAGAGATGTTAAATGGAACACAGACCTGCAACAGATAAACAAAAAAGATCATCATCTAGCATTCTCCATGAGCATATACTGTACACACCTTTTGATATTTTTAAGGGGTAGCAAACTCTCTGGATCTACTACAGTTTATTACTCTGTAAATATTTCAGCACAACTAAATTATTGTTATTAAACTTAGTATACAAGGCTAAGGACCCGTGAAAGGACTATACAATACAGTAGTAGTTATCCTTCTTTCAGGCATAACCTACATAACTATATCTACTAGGGCCCTCATAGAACTACATCTAGGGTAGACTTTAATCTCCATGTAAGTCATGGACTCGCGCAGTATACTTAACCGTTCTATGTCTCATAGGGGAGGGACATCAACACTTACCTTACATTTGTATTCATCATATAATCAAAATCCTGTAAGGTTGATGTTTCTATGTTTCCTAATGCCAAAACACCTGCACAGTTTACCTGTAAACATAACAAGAGAAAAATCTATGATATAATTAATATGTTTCTTTGCCCAAATTTAAAATATTAATAAACATTTATGATTCAATCACCATTACAAAAATACCAAAATGGTATGTTAATTATAATTAATATTATGCAAAAACATAATAATAATATAAAAATAGTAACATTAATAATAACACCATAATACATCTTGGTAGATAAAAGAGTCACTATAATTACCAAAATATCAAGTTGGCCAAAGTGCTGGACAGTCTTCTCAACAAGAATCACATTATCTGCTTCATTGGTGACATCACTAGGAACAAGGAGAGGCTGTTGTAGATTAAAGATTTCATACAAGTCACATGACAATAATAATAATAATAAAAGTTATGCCACATGCTTCTGACAGCAATATTCATTTTTATAACTACCAAAATCAAAGCAATTGTGGCAAAGACAAGCCAAACCAGTCACTCATCGCAAATTGTGTTTCAGAGAAAATAGCAAAAACATGCTAGAATGTAAAATTTTTAAAAATCTATTTTATTTCACTAAACTAAGATTCATGTATCTATACATCATGCTGTGCTGTTATTTTTCCCAATTTCAATGTTAAAACAACACTTTTTAATGATTTTATAATAGTTTCTGCACGAGAAATGCCTGAAATCATAAACTTTGAAGGCTGATTTCTCATATACTGTTCTTTAAACAGCTGTATGCTTAAATGCTTGTAACTTCATCAGGAAATGTTGGATTTGAATGATTTTTTTACCATTTTATAGCTCTTATTTTACTCTTTAATCCTGTATTAATAACTCAAAATCGAATTTTGCGACGAGTGACTGGTTTGGCTTGTCTTTGCCACAATTGTATCCTGTGGCTAATTAATTATGCAAATTTATCATAATTTGTTTATAATAAGATTGGCAATACTTGACACTTTTGAATTCATACTGACCTTTGCCCCATGTTTTTCACACTCTTTACTTGTCTTTTCTAGGTTTTCCACACGTCTGCCATTCAATACTAATTTGGCGCCAAGTTGTGCAAACAGAACACTTGTCGCTGCCCCGATTCCTGAGCTAGCACCTGCAATAATTGATATATTTTCCAGTATCAAAAATTATAACAAGGAAGCACACAAAGAAATTAAAAACGAATACAGATTGGATATATTTTACATATTTTGTAGTAAACACATCTGAGATAGTAGAGATTCACACAAAGTAATTAATATACTGTACTGTAAATATATGTGAATAAAAGAACAAAGATTTAAAAAAAAAGTTTGCTGGCATTGAATATATTAACACTGGGTGGATGCATGGAATAGTGTTTTTGAGTTTTGCTTTTTTTATTGTTTTTTAAGGTGATAATGATGATCCGTGATGATTGATCGATAATAATTGAGTACAAGTCATTATAAATGTATAATCCAAGAATAAATGACACATTATGAGTAGAATTTTATAGATCTTGATAATAATGATGGTTTATGGAATGATGTTGCATAAGCACTGCATTATATTTATAACAATGCTGTTATATTACAAATAATGATTAAGATAATTATGATATGACGAATTGATTTATAACTGATTTATTGGTCCCCACGCATTTTGAAACTACAAACCATCTCCTTGCAGTTTGCAAACTGTGCAAGGAACTGGAAGAGCTTGCACAATTTGCAAATAAATTGTGCAAACGGCCAAAATTGTGCACGATAGAACCAGTCAGTGACAGGAACACCAGTTCCCCACGTAGGTCAGAATAGTACCACCACTACTGTTGCTGGTTGTGACAGAGGTGTTAGGCCTGGCAGGCAGTACTGAGTATAATAGGTAGCCTCTGACACTACCCTGCCTGGGCACAGCTACCTAGGCTAGGCCTAGGCCTAGCCTAGAGTGGCCTAGGCCTATTATAGGCCTAGGCCCTATATATGCAAATCCAGTCTACTACTAGTACTAGGCCTAGTAGTAGTAGTGCCAGGTTTACACATGTATTTTAAAAAAGATAGGCCTAGCATATCTACCAGTTATGAGCGCAACCTTTCCCAAAAGCGATAATGGCGTAGCGGATGACATACTACTGCATACTCCTCCAGCTAGGCCTACTCGTACGTATCGTAACCGTACGTATCGATATGAATACAGATCATTTCGGTCGCGCTTCGTTTCGGTCGCGCTTCATTTCGGTCGCGGTTTGTTTTCAACAAATATACGGAGCGCCAATGGAGTTTCGAAACGCTAAATTTAATATAACTAGGCCTAATTATCATTGCAAGTTCGTCAATCGGTTTATCATACTTTTTTATTTATGTTTTGTTGTATTTATAATAAGTAACAACAGGCTACTTAAAAGCAAATATAATCAGGGGTCCCAAGTTGTGGAAGTGAAATTCCTGGAGATTTTGTCGTGATGGTCATTCCAAGGATTGTCGCGCGCCGCGACGCGCTGCGGCGCATGTACTGCAGTTACATCATCACTGTCAACACACTTTATAAACAGAAACTTATTGAAAATACTACAATAAATAAACAGTACACATTTATTATGCTGCATCACTTAATGATATTTAATCATTACAGCAAAAACATTAATTTAAGGGTAAAAACTACACCCC